CCAATTTTATTCCCCATGTCATGTCCTGGCCTGACGATGAATGACCGAAAACAATCGTTTGCCAACAAGACTTTTTAAATAATAATTGCTCCCTTCCCCCACCCTCGCCTCAAGAACGATATAAACACTGTACAGAACTACCCGCTTTTCTCGCTTATTTTCCATGTCACTGTAAAGGCCTGAAGTGAATGACCGAAAACAACTGTTTGCCAAGACGACTTTTCAATTGAAAATTAATAATCGAAGACATCCGCTCGTCTAACTTGGCTTTCTGTGTGTTTAGTAGAAATGACGGGCATTGCCAGCGCATATAACCAGTCTCGATTTCCGGATAGTTCCAAGACATCAAAATCATATTTGACAGATAAGATTGAGGGTTCAAAACACGCTTGTTAGCGATGACAGACAGATTTATTTTTATTTCCCTCCATCCATCAATATCGCCATCAGAAAGAATTCTCACTGGAAATAACCACAGAGATGAAGTCAAGCAGGGGGTAAACGCAACAGATGTCAAAATGAGAAAGCCACTCTCTGTCTCTCTGAACACAGTGCAGGAAAGCAGCAGTGATGGGTAGGAAGGGGGAGGGAGCGATTTTCAGAGGGCAGATACGTTTGTTTCTCAGCGTGGACGATAGACACGGGTTCGCCCTAACAACTTGTTCGTAGACCAGTGAGCTTGCACCAGGATCGTGGACCGAAAGACCTGGGCCAGAATGAGGAGTAGGTTCTTGACAGTGAAGAAAATGTTCTGATAACTCTGCACATTGTAGCGGAAAATCAGCATGAGCCGCAGGATCAGAAAGGGCATGTCTTGCAGCATCAGCGTCATTATAATGGCCCACAATTCCGTTCCGAAGAGAACATAACCAAAGTGACCCGGTCGAAGAAAGTAACTATGCCAACAATGACAACAGCAAGTGCATTCCTCTGTCAACTCACTGGCTTCCTCCTGTGATTCCGCCGTCTTTTTGGAACTTCGCACCTGTGATTCTGCCGTGCTTGTGGAGCTTCGCGACTGTGATTCTGCCGTGTTTGTGGAGCTTCGCGACTGTGATTCTGCCGTGCTTGTGGAGCTCCGCACCTGGGATTCCGCCTTCTTTTTGGACCTTCGAGCCTGTGCTTCCACTTCATGCAGGGATTTTAATCGAGTTACCTTCTTCTTCCTTTTGCAGCATCGCAGGCAACAATTTTGGTTGGTGTCGGCTACCGCAGGCGCCTGAAAAGGGTTGTGTTGACCGCTGTCCAGGCTACGAGGCGCCGTTGAATGTGTCAGGATGGAGGACATGCTGGCCTCAAGCCTGGAGGTCTTATTGAAGCAAAACTGCAGTAGACTGGCTTGCCATAGGCAAAGGATGCTTATCTGTAGGGGAAAATTGTTTATAACAGCTTCCTCATTGAAGGACTCGAAGAGGTCGAGGATGTCAGCAGCGCTGCCAATGTTGATGAGCAGCAACTCAGAGAGCTGATCGCTGCTGATGCCAAATAGCGGCAACATCCAGCGGCCGATAATTGCACAAAGCAAATGGAGTTGTTCTATTATGCGAATCTTCTGTTTCAATGGGAAGTGATGCAGAATCTGTATCTGAAGGAGAGATGAAAGGCGGTTACTAGTAATGATATTTGATAATGGATCAGAACATGCCTGAAACTCCGAAATATTGCTTTGATTTTACAAAGATATGGTTTTAGTCTTTTAATTGAGCAGCGTACTCCCAAAATGTTCCAGTCGCACACGGGGGTGCAGGCTGTGGAGTGCACTTTTTCTCGGCAGTCAACAAAAATCACATTGAGTTAAAAAGTAGTATGCTTTTTTTCTTATTGATATTCAATGTCGGGGATAGAAACACCGCACTAAGCAGAAAGGACTTCGTGCAAAATATCAAGGAACCTACATGTTCTCTTGCCCAAATTCTGACACTAACCTTAATCACAAACTGAGCCTAAAGTCTAAAGGTAATTGTAACACAAAGCCTAAGCTTAGCTCAAATACTAAACCTAACCTTAGCATTCCCTTTGAAAATGTAAGAGGACCCCAAAATGCTCAGGGGGTTTTTATTCCTCTTTAGGGACAAATATACAAAATACTTTCTTTTGTGTTTTTTTGTTAGGCAGGGATATTACTGTTAGGAGCCGTCCTAACAGACCTGTGTACATTTAGTCTGACCGAGACGCTCTCAAGGCACGCTATTAGCCCGTGCACCCAAAGACACTCGCACGTATGAGCGGTCCTAAAATAGCCGACACCGTGGATAGGGGTCCACGATAGAGATGAACCAATTAGATTGCCGATCGAGTTGCTGCTCGCTCGAGAATACAATCTGATTGGATCCATATTATAACGCTGAATGTGATGCATCAGTGTGCATTTTCCTAACACAGAATCCTTTGGGAAGCGATCCACGTCAACGGGCGCAGCTGCTGCATCCATCACCGAGTTTATTTATGATCCTGACTTCGGTGTGACTTTTGACGCTTGGTTTAAATGTTGGGAAATAATCTCCCTTATTAAATTTGCCAAAGTTAATGATCCTTGGAAGATATGCCTGTTGGTACGCAAGTTGGACACTAAGAAGCATGAACAGTACAGGGACATGCTTCTGTCGAAGAATCCTCGTGACTTTACCTCCGATGAAAGCGCTAGGCGACTCTCAGAAACCTTCGAGAAGGAATCTTCATTGTACGATATACGATATCCGTGTCTCAAGCTGGCGAAGAACGAGATAGAGGATTGTTTGACATTCGCCAATATCGTCAATCGCGAGTGTGGAGAATGCAACTTGCGATCCATGGCAGAAGATCAGTTCAAGGGCCTCGTTTTTATGTGTGCCTTGAAGTCACCTCACGAGGCTGAAATCAGAACTCGTCTGCTCAGCAAAATTGAGCAGGACCCCGACGCAACCCTACGGACATTGACAGCCAAGTGCCACTGGCCCAAAAATCTTAAGCATGATTCTGCCATCGTGCAGTAGTCCAGTTTCTCGCTCGCCGCCTCCAGTCTTGATCTGGCACCCGCACGAAGTCGATGTCCCACATAAGCCCTAAGATTACACCCCCAGAAAACCACTAATCGCATGCTGGCACTGTGGTTACTGGCATTTCTGTCGCTGCTGTCAATTCAGGAATCAAATTTGTCAGAAATGTCATAGGCAAGGTTATAAGGAAGATCACTGCCCGGCAACCCAAACCCCCAAATCAAGGGCAGGCGATTGGATGCTGAGGTGTCCTAAACACCCTTCATCTTATTCCTTACTAAATTGACATTCAATCTTAACTAAGTTCGAAACCGAAGTTGCGGCACGGAGACAGTATCTTACGGTTATCATCAGTGACAAACCAGTGCACCTCCAGCTTGACACAGTCTTCGACGTCAACCTCATCTCCAAACCCACTCGGCAGATGATCGAATGACTTTCAGACTTCGGACAATGGACCCTTCCTGGCCGTACGTGCACTCCTCCGACTTTCAAATTCCTCCTGCCTATTCTCCATTACTTTTGTACTGTTA